TTTTGTAGAAGGTACTCAGCAAAGAGATGAGTACCCACAACTTAGGGCTTTGGGGTTGGAAAGGATGGAAACTGAAGGCGGAAGTGCCTCTAGGATAAAAGGCCTTGGGGGCATGGCCTCTTTGGTGTTTAGTAGCTTAACATCATCCATTGTACTCAAATATCGGTCGTCATGAACAGGACGTACGCTTGCTTTTGGGGTATCCTCAGATTGGATGCGCAACCTGACACGTACTTTGCAGAGATGCACGCGCAACATGTTGTGGGGTAAGTGCTCCTCTTCCACTTCACCTCATACGCCCATTGAATGTTTTGTGGGATCCTTGTGGGAAAAACTCATCATTGACTCCGTCAATAAGCACTGCCCAGCAAGTGGCACGTAGCTCGGCTCCTGCGGCTTTGGCAGGTCGAAGTCCTGAGCGGCACGCGGAAAATTCTGCTGCAAGCCAACTGGAACTCCTGAAGAATGTGGAGAATTTGAAGCCCTTGGCGCAAGAACCTGGGTCCACATATCTTGGATTCGGCTCACGATGGGATGTCAGTATTTTTTCTCGATTTCGTCCTTTAGAGTCCCGGCATCTACGAGCCGATTGAGGTTTTGTGACAAGCTCTTCCCAATCACGGCCAGTTCCGAGAATCCAGCTGTGACAGTGGAACTGATGAATATCATGTACCTGCGAGAACCTTCCGATGTCAGGCTCGATCTTCTCAAACCCTTAAAGCAAAAGCCAAGCGACCGTGAAAGGTATCCAAAAAAGGCGCTGAGAAGTCTTGAGGGCAAGCTGGAGATCTGTCAATGTCTCAGAACCGTTTAGTTCATTGAGCCTTCCATCCCCTTCCTAGGGGTCTGCTTGGCATCTGCTGAGCTAGAGCGCTTTTCTAGCCTCGCAAGAATCCAATCTCTCATATTTCCAGGAATCAGCATCAGTCAGGTAAGGATAGAGATCCCCGCTTCGAGCACAGCCTTGAGCCGGTTCGGGAAGGATGATTTGAAAATCCTCTCAAATGGGATCCAACTGGTCCTAGCAGTCTCCAGCTAATTACAAACCCTAGACTGACTCTATGCCCTGCATCCCTGCTCTACATTTCGACCCTAGAAAGTCGTTTGCTGCAAAGCTCCGTCTCATCCCTGCACTCTCTCTCTCTCTGCCTCTCTCTCTGCAGCTCAGGCTCGCTGTCACTGCCACTTCCGTGGTCCGTGTAGATGGTCACCTGACACGGCTCGGATCACGCACGACCAAGACTAGTCAGCAGAAAACAAGAAGGACAAGCTGAAGAAGGTGAAGGGTGCTACGGAGGAGCGGGAGTTGACTACTATAAGAGACATACCGAGAAGAACAAGTTTCTAGTTCTCACCGTACTTGCACCTGGAATCTTGATCCCTGGGCTGTGAAGCAGTTTGCACGTCCGCAAAAAAAAGTGCACTTTCTTGGCACTGTTCCATTGGAAGCACCATCACAGTTCCCTGAAAGGCTGGCAGCAAGCCTATGTTTCACGGGATGTCGGCGTATGACTTAGGTGGACCCCCTGGTATCAGAGGAATATACGAGGACCCTAATAGAATCACCGTCATCCCTCATAGTCACTATTGCTGGGTGGGGGTCCACTTAAAGTATGACGGTGTATGATGCGTGGAGGGGCAAACCTAGGTCACAACACTCCAGCACAACATCAGTATCTGGATTGCTGCTAAGGAACTTAAATTAAGGTACCACAATGGGTAAATCTGGCTTCCCCACATAGCAACTTAAATTAGATTCCTTAACAGCAACCCAGATAAGAATAGCATCCGTAGCATTGCAGAAGCCAAAGTTTGGAGCGAAAAGCAATCCAACAAAAAGGATCCTGTCAGGAACCGCATGAGACTGCCTAGGGCCTGCTGCTCCTTCCCCAACCCAAGCCCTCCGCGGCCAGGCCTTTAGCTAAACCTCAAACTTCAAGTCCGGGGGGGGTCTAGGATCTAGGGTTTAACCCTGAAATCCGTCTAAACACTCCAAAGCCTGCGTAGCACCACGAACAAGGAAATGCTCACGCCAAGCGCTCTACCAACACTTTAAGGTAAGCCCATCTCTTAACCTCAGGCTCCAAGCTCGAAGCTCTACATCCTCAACGCTCCAAAATTCTAAGGTTCAGCCTACTCTCAGACCTTCATTAAGCCCAAAGTCCGTCCCAAACACTCCCCAAACCCCCCAAAGTCCATCCCAAACCCTCCCAAAGCCCGCACAAGACCGCAGAGACCACCCTGAAGTCATTATCCTATAGCCCCAATATAGTATAGTAGTTTCCATTTTCTTTTCCATTATCCCTATATAACCCAATATACCCTAAACCCTAAACCCTATATAACCCCCATGAGGCCTTGCTTTGGTTCCGGCTGCCCAGGCTGCTGCGGCTCCGCCTCAGCGAGGCCTCCTCGGGCACGCCGTCCTCTCTGCATGGGGAGGGGGGTGGGGAAGAAAGGGGATTATATGGGGGTTATTTAGGGTTTAGGGTTTAGGGTTTTAGGGTTTAGGGTTTTAGGGTTTAGGTTTAGGGTTTTTAGGGTTAGGGTTTGAGGGTTGAGGATTTAGGGTACTATAGTATATGGGGCTTATATAGGGATAATGGAAATTAAAATGGAAACTACTATAATACATTGGGGCTATAGGATAATGACTTCAGGGTTTGGGGTGGAGGATTTGGGGTTTAGGAGTTTTAGGGCTTGGGCTTAGGGTTTGGGGCTCGGGATGTGGGGTCTAGGCAGTTGAGATGAGGGCGTACTGCTGCCAGGAAAAATTACTAAGAGGGCGAGCGGGGAACGCTCCATAATTCCAAAAAACTTCTGACGCTCTTTGAACTCTAGGGGCTCTCCTCGCGGAAGGCCATGCAAAGCACGGCAGAAGCGGCTTCCACGTTGCCGTCCGTTCGCTCGAACGCCTGCATGTGTCGTCCGGGCTGAAAAATGTCCTGCCTTTATGGGTGTGGGCCCACATTGGCTTGGGGCTGTCGTTCATTCCGATGTGTGTTTGCGGTGTACATGTCTCTAACGTGTTTTGGAAGGAAGAAGTTAAAGAACAAGAACTGGGTTTAGGCTTCAGGAGCCGGGTGCAGGGTCTGCCTCGAGCAGCGTTTAATCGCGCCAAGCAGCAACAGGAGTCAAGGATCCTCGAATCGATGCCCCAAACACCCTCAAATCCAGAAACTGCTGAGCGTCGAATTCCCAACCCCCCGATTCGCCTAAACCCCAAAGCCCTGAGCTTTTTCGTCAACCCCCAGGGCTGCAGCTTCCTGTTTGCCTCCTTGAGCATGTGGGCTGCTTGCTCTCCAGCAAGATCCTGCAGCCCTGCGTGCAGCATGGGGTCCACTTCATCCTGGAAGCACAGGGAATGCTTGGGAATGTCAAGTCTTTAGTCCTCTCTGACATGCAACTTGAAAGATTTTGCTGGGGCTGTTGGCCTCTATCATTTCAGCGAAGTTCGTGCTGTTCTGAGTTTGGATTGGAAGCCTTGGGAGATTTGCAGAGCTGCATCCAACTGCGCCTTCCGCGTTGCACCGCTTTCAGCCCTTGAGCTCTCCTGCTACATAGACTCTACCTGAAGACAATTGCAAAGCTCAGCTTGTACGGGCTGCAATCCGTTCTGAGCTAGGTTGCCAGAGCTGCGTTCATGGTTTGACCAAGTCCACTTTCTCACCGACTGAATAGACTTCGAATTATACGACTTCGGTTCAAGAAGCCCTGTCCTGGTTCGGCCAATGCCAGGCCTTGTACCTCCGGCCGCGGGACTTGACTTGCAGAGAAGCGCCTTTCAGGGCGCTGGGTGCGCTTGCCGGCCGTCGTTTTCGCTGGCGAGGACCAGAGATGTCCGCACCACATTCCACGGAGAGGCTGTGGTGCGCAGGCTGAGCACTGCCTGGTCGCGCCAGGTGGGCACTCAGCGGCCGAGAGGTCGGGCGCGCGCTGGCAGGCCTGGAGGCGGGTCGCGCACTTGCTGGCCGCCTCGGCACTCTGGCGCTGTCAGGTCGCGAGGCGACGTGTGCACTGGTTGGCCGGGTGGGATCTCGAGCACTTGCAGGTCTCGACGCAAGCTTTGCGCTCAGTGGCCTGGATGTCGTGCGAGCACTCGCCGGACGCGAGGCCTGCACACTGGCGCTTGTTGGGCGCGAGGTCACCTGAGCGCTTGCAGGCCGCGATGTTGAGGTTCCCGTTCCTTAGTGGTTAGGCTCTCCTCTAGGTGCAACCATCAGCAAAGTTGCTGTTGCCATCCTTCAAGGTTAGTTGCCGGCTTCAACACAGCTTGTGCCAGATTATTCCTCTCGAGCACAAACCTCTAATGGACGAGCTGAAAGGCAGGAAACGGTGGTTGAAGCATTGCCTGATGATCGCGCCCGTCCAACAATAAGACATGTCACACAACAGACCAAAACCTTTAAACATTATCCCAGAACAACAAGGAAAACATGCATCTACGTACGAGTGGACCACATGGTTCAGAGGACTGCCCCGACCCGCCAAACATCCAGACACAGTAGTTAAACCAAGACTCTTAATGAGGGCCATATGGTCTGCCTCCCAAGGCATTCTGCAGAACTTAATTTGAGAAGCTCCCACATATGACTCGCATGCAGCAAAGGTTCGGGCGCTGGTTGGCCGAGAGTCTGGGGCGCTCAGAGGGCGCGGCGAGCTGTCTGGGAAGATGATGATTTCGGTGTTTCTGAAGATGCCCTGCCCCTTTCAAATTTGAAGTATGTCTATAGATTTTGTTGAATTTAGGCCACGTGTCCAAGGGAGGAAGCATAGCGTGCTGGGCCTTGAGGCCCCAACATCCATAGCACGTTCTACAAAAACATCAAGAACACTGCCCGAATTGTTTGCAAAAGGGCGCCTGTGTGTTTGGGCAGCGGGGTGGGGTGGGCGGCTTCAGTCACTACTGCGGTCGATGTACAGACAGGCGTGCAAAGTTTCCACATTTCACTGGCTAGCAACGACCAGTTGTGGATGTGGCTAGACCGCAGGAGGGTTCTGCAACAGACCTCAGCCATCCAGAAACTTCTGCTGGAAGGCCCATCGGCTGTTCTTGTGCTTATCTTGCGCAACACAATACATTGGGATGGGAAGGATGGGAAGGATGGCACGCCAGGCGAGAAACGGATATACATCACACCCGCGGCAAAGGCTGGCAAACCTGGAAGCGTAAACTTTCAAACCCCGTATCCCTGAAGCCTACATTCCCCAGCTCCTTGATCAAAGCCTTAGGGATAGGGGGTATACTACACCATAGTTATGCAAGGAGTGCAAGAGAACCATGAGGCTTCTAGTAACAACAAATGCAACAACCAGCTAAGAGTCTCCGCACCAACCACGCCGAGTGTCACAGCGGCCGCTTCCCTGCTGGCAGCCAGGGCGGCAGCTCTGGCACCTGGTGATTTGCTGGGGTTTGGGGTTTAGAGCTTCGGTTTTTTGTTAAGTTAGGGCTGATGGCTTAGGGTTCTGGGTTCAGGGTTTCAGATTTAAGCTTCAGGGTGTAGGTTTCGGGTGTTTCAGATCCAGTGTGCGCTTCTCAGAGTTTCGGGTGCGCCCTGAGGATCCCGGGATTACATACGTGTTCTCAGGCGCTAGTAGGGGCGACTTGCGGGAGCTGCCGGGCCAACATTAGGGCTACCAAGATTTTAGAGAGTCCATGGCTGTTGCTCTTACTGCTGCGCTGGAACAATTTTTATGATGCGTACTACCCACATGTGGATATGACTTGCTCAACATGCTGGTTACTTAGCAATTCCAGGTATATCAGCATCAAATCGCTTGTCAATCACTATTTTGTAAGGAGCCAATGGAAAGGAACCTGATACTTACGGCTACTGTACTTACATACTTGCTATGCAATTTCCAACTTCCAAAACCATCCAAGCAATCCCTGCCCAGCAGAGGACGAGGTGCGTAGTTTGGGGGTGGGACTGGCGGCGGAGTGACATAGGCCCAACTCCTGACGCGTCAAAATCAACGGGGGTGGTCAGGAAAGTCCACAGGAAGGATGTTCCAAAAAGGATCGTATTCGCGACCGGGAGCAGCTACTGTAGTGCTTACTTGCTGTTTTAAAATGTCACAAGTGGTATTTGAGCCTGAACGCCGCACCTGTTCGAAGGTGAGAGAGACAAAGATTTGCGGGATGCTATGCTGAGTACAGCTCCAGTGGGATCTAAATGCCCAGAGCCGTTCACGAATACTCATGCAAATC